GAAATTGATAAATCATGCGGTCTACGCAAGCAAAACATGCGGTCTACGCAGGTATTGAAATTGAACATGCGGTCTACGCAATCAAAACATGCGGTCTACGCAGGTATTGAAATTAAACATGCGGTCTACACAATCAAAACATGCGGTCTACGCAAGTAAAGAAAGGATATACCATTACATAGCATAATTGAAACAATTTGTGGGATTCACAAAGCATGAAAAGGATATGGGGCGGGACATTCTTCGCACGTATCGAGGGTTGCTCGCAGAAATTGTGGCCTGAGGTCAACTCGAAGGTTCACGTTTCAAAGGTGTGCTTTCCCGTATTGTGAAGGCGTCCAATGACGTGGTTGACCCGAACAAAGATGCGGAAGGTGCGTTAACCGCAAGGGGGGGTTTCACTGGTATCAATTCTGATACTTTGTTACCTTGCCATTCTACGTTTTATTTTCCTTTTTATTAGTAGTTTAAGCGCATTGCACTGCCTCAGGCAGGTTTTATTTTTTCTCAAAATTCACACACTTTGCAAAACACGTGATGGGAATGAAACAACCATTTTGTTCAAAAGGTGTTGCATTTGTAAACTTTTTGTGCATCGCATCGCGAAGTATCACACCACAATGTGAACGAAATTGAACTTTGTTTTAGAAATTTGCATCGTAACAATCAGGTAGTGAACCGACTTACGACTCGATAAGCAAAAACAAAGACGTGATGTAACCAAACAAACGCGAGTACAACTCGATAAACAAATCAAGAGCTCAAAGAGAGCGAAATACAACTCGATAAGCAAATGCACAATGACTGGCGAGCAGACAGGTGTGACCCCGCAGGAATCGATCACCGGGGGAATCGGAAGTGGTGGAGTTTCCCAATGCTTAGCATAAATAGCTCAGGAAACCGGGAGGAAGCCCACCGGCCAGGGGTGGAGACCACCGGCTACAAGGAATGGCCACCGGCCATCCACTTGATCTGTCGGCACAAAATTATGGTCGGTCGGCAAAGATTTTGGCCGGCCGGCACTAAATGGAGGATCAGCAGAATGTTGACACCTGTCCTCCACTCAGTCTTATCTTCTACAAAAGGTCACAGCCTCGTGGTTTTTCTCACTTTCACACTGATTTGCTCGAAATGGAAGAGTTTCTTGCTCAAAATCTCGCAGCTTGGATTGCTAGTTTGGATGGCTCGGAAAAAGTGAATTTCCGGGGTTTCGGCATAAATGCACTATTCACCCTGGGTCGTACCCGTTGCACCTCCCGTTTCTCCATGCCGCGGCAAGGTTCTGGAATCCGGTGACGCATGTCTTTAGCTTCGCTGGGCAAGAGATATGTCCTACTTTCGAGGATTTCCGAGCCTTAATGGAGTCCGAACGCGACGAGGAGCTCCTGCCCCAACTTAACTTTGTTCATGCCCAATCCTTAGGGCGAATGTGTGGACTCAGCATGCGTGATGCTCGGTCCCTGATTTGTGACGGGATGTTGGACATTCCGAGTTTGGCCAATCGATTTTCTGATGCCGGTGATCGCAACAACCATCACTGGCAAGGCTTCCGGCGACATGCCCTCTGCTTGTGCATGCTGTCCCATTTCCTGTTCGTCTCAGGCTCTGGAGGGGCTAATGTCCAGCTGATTGAGATTGCCCAAGGCTTGAAGGAGGGCAGGAGCTGTATTGCCATGACTCTGGCCGAGACGCTAATGGGCTTAGATGCCTTTTATCGTCATGAGACGACCAGATTAGCAGGAAGTCCACTACTACTACAGGTAATGTTTCCCACCCAATCTCGCATTTATGTTTTGCTCACATCACTCGGCCCTTAAGTTCGGTCTTTTCTCATAAAACCCCATTCTCACTCTTCTCTCCTCGTACATCTCTCTATTCTTTACTCTCTCATTTTTCAATCCCTCCCCAGGTATGGCTGATGGACAAGCTACAAGTTGTGGACTCTTGCCCAGCATATTCAGCTCGCGGCTACTTCTTCCGGCATCGTCTAGTCAATGCCTTGGATGAGGGATGGTGGTTCGCTTGGATGTGCCACTTGTCCGCAGGCCGTATCGCTTGGCGGTGCCCTTGGCTAAACCTTCCGGCAATGAGTTACAATATGCCCCGGCAAACTGGGATTCAATTGGTTGGTCTCACTCACTGTGTATTCTATTTCCCATTTCGGATTCGACGCCAATTTGGCCATGATCAGACCTGCCCGCCAGAGGGGATAGAGTATCCTGCTGCATTCCCAGCCCGAGCCGCACAGCTTGCTTGGCAGGCCACCGCGTGGAGGATGAGAGAACTCCTGGCCCCCGCTCCTACTTTCAGTTGCACTTTGTCTGACGAGTGCGTGGATTGGCTCAACGAAGAAGCACAGATTGGGCCCAGCTTGGCATCGGAAGCTTCGACCAGCTCTGGGAGGGGGCGCAGGAACACCTGATTTGACTATGCCCTAGATTTATTGCTTTATTAGTACTTTCAAGTTTTCTTTATGAATGTAATAAAAAGCAACTTCAATTGTATGCAAGAGCAGGAGAACTCTATTTTGAAATCAATGAAATTGAAAGTTGTGGGACTGAAAATTTTCCGCCTTGGTCCAAAAATGGTCAAAGTTGCAAAAGATTATTTGAACGAAATCAGCTTTATTAAAACTTCTCAAAAACATTTTTGATCTGGATCAGAACTGGACACGCCTGAGATCTGTCACTGAGATACACAACCCCAAATTCCCGCAACTGGAAAGTTGCCCCTAGTCTGAAGAGCACCGCAGCACTGCATAGCAACGGAAAGTTGCCCCTAGTCTGAGTGGCACTGCACTGGAGATTCCAACAGATGCTGATAGACAAAGATGACTGAGACGATCAAATGGACAAAGTTGATCGGGGAAGTGTTTATGGCTGAACTTCAGGATGAAGCTGCCTACGTATCCCAAACATGGGAATCAAGCCTTACGTAGTTCAGGCTTGGGTTCGCTCGAGTATTTTCACTCTCCATTTACGCTCTAACTTTTGCCAAGGTCGCCCTTTGCGGGTTTTCAGACTTGCAAGCTCAGTTTTTATTATTTCAAATTTTCTATGCTCTAACTTTTGCCTAGGTCGCCCTTTCGGGTTTTTGGCCTAGCAAGCCTCTCAGGGGTAATATTTCTTCAACTTGTCCATGTTGATCGGTTGGGAGAACTCTAGGCCATCTAGATCCATCAGAACCACAGCTCCACCTGACCAGATAGCTTTGATGATGTAGGGACCAGTCCAATTGGGTCTGAACTTGCCCCTTAGGTCGTGGATGGGAGCTCGGTTGTCCTTTGAGTACCCTAAATCGCCCTTCCTTTAGATTTCTGGACTTAACCTCTTTGTTAAAAGCCCGAAATCCTGCGCGATAACTCTTGAACGGTGATACAGTGCTTTCACCTTCTTTCGTCAAAGAGCATAAGTTCCTCGAACCTGCTCTGCTGCCAATCTGCCTCAGCTATCTGACATCTCAGCCAATACCCGTAAAGACGGAACTTCAATTTCAATAAGGTAGAACAGCCTCCATTCCATAAACTAACGGAATACGAGTTGCTCCGGTAGAAGTTCTAATTGAAGTCCTGAGCCCCACAGAGCAAACGGCAAACTTAATCTGGCCAATCCGGTAGGTCTCCACCATTTTCTCCGCAGTATATGCTTGATGTTCTTGTTGGCGGCCCTCAACTGCTCCGTTGTTTGCGGTCCGGTATCGTAGATGACTTATGAAAACCACGTTATACTTATCCAACAAGTCGACCACTTCTTCTCGTTAAAGTGGGATCCATTATCCAGTATGATTCTCGTTTGTGTTCCTACCGTAGCGAAAATGATGTTGTTGGCTGTCCTGAGATAACTTTACTGCGACTGTGCGACTGTTCAACACTGCGTATGATTGGGGCCTGCGACCACAACTTTGTGAAATTACATCCTATCGCTACGAGGAATACTCAGGTCCGTTCGACCCTTCGGGGTAACATGCTCCGATCCACATCAATCCCCCCAACACGGAAAATGGCCACGGGGAGCTGTTGGATATGCAACGGATGGTGATGTTCATTACGGTTTTGCGTGGATTGGCATTGTGCATCGCCGAACAAAGCCGACTAACAATCCTCCTCCATTGGTCGACCAAGTTAGTAACCCTGCTGAGGAATCTTTCTGGCTAACAATTACTCCATTATGTGTGCATCCGCAACTCCCCTCCATGGATGGCTCCATTAGGCGCTTCGACTCTTCAGCTATCTAACAGAGCTTTATGCATTCATCAGATGGAGCCCACTTTTTGTATATGCTTAGCCCTCCGCAGATGGATGAACTGCAATAGTCCCATTCTTCTAATGTGCCCTCTTATCCTTGGCGCGTTGCCCCCAAGTGGCGATTACGTCTCCTTTTCCACACGAAGTAGTCCAAAAGTATTCGTGTAATACCATGGTGGGGTATATTTGTCGTCTTGGGCCTCATCTTATGGCGGAAATGACTCGTATGCCGGCACGAACGTTCTGATCAATGGATGAGCTGGGACGCATCCGGACTCAGATCGGGAATGTTCTCTCATTGGAAGATAGAGTTGTTTAGGAAATCTGGCAACGACTGCTTGTTCTCTTTACGAAGTGGGTGAAATTTAGCTTCCGCTCGAACGAGGAAAATATACACAAATATGCAAGCTTTT